GGAGGCAGCAAGGAGAGGAGCCTGGGAGAGTGTGGCAGGCAGAGGACTGAGCCGGGGGGGGGGGGGGGGGGGGGGGTTGGGGGCACGACCCTGAGGCGGGAGGCCCTCGGTGGGCTCAGGGGAGGAGGACTAGGTGAATAACAACAAGAAGGGGAGGAGACAAGGGGGCAGGGTGGGCAGGGACCCTCTGTGAACCACAGCGAGGGGTTGGGAGATCTGATTCCAGGCCCTCTGGGGCGGCTGAGGGAGGCCGCAGGCCAGCGTGACCGGATGTGCCTCACACCTGGGGCCTGGAGCTGCTTCTGTAAGAAGACTTTCCTTCATCATTTGCTTCTCGAATTCCAGCCTGAACTTTCTGAGGTGGCTCAAAAGGCTTGGGGCATTCTCCTCCTCTCTCTGCCTCTTCTTAGTGTCCCTTATTTCAACACGACCTCCCCTCACTGCCAAAAGGAAAGCCGCCGCTTCAGCTGCTGCTGGTGGTCTCTTCTTCATGTGCCCCCATCCTTTGTCACAACCCTCCATTGCTGAAGCTGCTCTTAGGGCCACTCCAGGGACGGGTCCCCTGCAGCTTCACCCCCTGAGGCTGCAGCATGATTGCTTCTGGGCCTCCCTGGTGGGATGGGGATACGGTCTGGCAGGGTGTTCTTAGGAAGGCTTCTTACAACAGAGGCAGGGCCTGGTCCTCAGCTGCAGCCCGGAGCAGGACCAACTGGGGGGATCTTGAATCTCTCCGGCTCCTTCTGAGGCTGTCTGAGCAGCAGTAGAGCACCCACCCCCATCACAGCTGCCCCAGTGCCAGGCACAAGGTGCCCCCCTGTGATGTATCTTGAGTGAAACGCGCCCAGACTGGTGAAGCTCACAGCTACATGCTGTTCTCTGTTCTAAATCCTGCCCCAAGTCCTGTCTGGTCCTCAGGCCTGGGAGGGGGCGGCGAAGACCTGGCTCCAGAGTGAGACTGTCTAAGTGGGATCCCCAGCTCCGACTTCTAGCAGCATGTCCTGTGACCACTTACTTGACCTCTCTGTGTAGCTTCCTCATATGTAAACTGGGACTACCAATCGTACCTACTTTGTAGGGTGGTCGAGAGGATTAATGAGTTGGTTTTTATGTGTGCAAGGGCTTAGAAGAATGCCCTGGACATAGCAAGCCCTCGGAACATGTTGGCTATCACCATTCTTTCCTCTTTTTCCCTTTGATTGCAAAAAATAGAAACCCACTCAATTTGCGTCAAATTAAGGGTGTCAAGTGTAAGCTCTCCCAAAGAGGAAGAGGCACTGGGGCAGGTACCAGACCGGTTATTCTGATTCTCTTTGGGGACTGGGTGTTTTTGCTCTCAAAGGCTGTGGTCACCTCCATTTGCCTCACGTTACCCATCAGCTTTCTCGTTGTGCTCACAGGGTCTCCTCCCTCATGACTTAGCCTCCATGTGGTCCATAAGGGCGACCTCCTTGCCTCCACCTTCTCATCCTTATGGCCATGCATCTTCTGCTCCTCCTGCTAACAGACCTGGTCATTTTCTTACTTCCAGGGCAAACTTCCTAAAAATGGCCATTTATTGGCCCAGCTTACTAAGGGCAAGGTTACTAGCCAACCTACCATCAACTGCCCTTAGCTCAACTGCCTTTGGGCCAACTGCCATCCTTGGCCCATTCATCTGGGACCAGGAGATGGGGTGACAGGATACCAAACACATGCCACTGAAGCCACAGGGGCAGCAGGATGCTCCGTGTAGAGGCAGGATGGATGTGGCAGGGAACAGTGGACATCCCCCGTGTGTGTTTCTGCAGCCTTCTGTCAAGGCACCAAGTGAGCTGCCAGATCTGGAAGAAATAGTCAAGATCAACATCCCCAGCTCCCTCATTTTATAGATGAGGAAACTGAGGCCCAGCCTGGGGAAGGGACTTTCTCCAAATCTGGTAGCCAGTAAATAGCAGAATCTCAGTTCAAGCTTTTTCCTTAAAGCTCATTTGACCACCTGCTCTTCTTTCACAGAGCATGAGAGATGCAACAGAAGCTCTGTGATGAGTAGAAGAGACCAGGACGAACATAGCAGCGTTTGCAGACTGCTTGGATGGCCTGGGCATGTGAGGTAGCTCATCCTTTCCAGACCTCAAACCGCCCTGCGAAGGCATCTCTCATTAGCCCCGTGTTACTGAGGAAATGGAGGCAGTTTGCCACTTGCCAAGTCAACCAGCTGATAAAAGTCAGGGCTGGGAGCCACCCTTGGGTCTGCCTGAACTCGTGGCCTCTGCACTGGCACCCATGCTCAGAGCTCACCAAGACCACCCAGCCAGGCAGTGTGCAGCCTGGGAGTGGGGTCTGCCTGGGTGGGTATAGGGACAGTAGCTAGATCCCAAGGATCCTGGGCCAGGGGCCAGGAAATCCAGAGGCCTTTACTCTCCCTCAGTCTGGTCCTGGACTTTGAGCAAGTCCTGGGTCCTTTCTGTTCCCCAGCTTTCCCATCTGTAAAATGAACACCTCACCTAAGATAAATCTGTATGTTCTTTGGAGAGTTGGAGTAGAAAAATGAGAAAATAGAAAGTGTTCTTAACCATAGTAAAAATAAATATGGCACTAATGCAAGGAATCCATAACGTCACTCTCCTCGATGTTAAAATTTAAAAGAAATTGATGAATAAGAGAGTTATCTTGGGTTCCAAGGAGAGGCTGGAATAGACTTGAATCTTAAGGTGGTTGTCAGGGCAACGAGGCCTCCCTACATCCAGCCTCTTGGGGACCACCAAATCCTGGCCGGCCTGAAAGGGCTGAACCAGAGGTGGCTCCTACCTTTCGTCTTGCAGGCAGGGTAGCAGAGGGAACAAGCGTGGGCTCTGGAAGCAGAGCACGTACGGAATCCTAGGCTTCAACCCCCTGACATCAGCATCCTCAATCGTGAAACAGGGATGCTAACAGAACTCACCCCTGTGGGTTGTTTAAGGATTCATTGGGGAGAAGTATGTGAAGCACTCTGCACTGTGTTCTTAGGAAGAATATACAGCATGCACTCGATGAATATTAATTAGCTTTATTACTGTTAAGTTAAGCTGGAGTCAGTGGATAAGTGCAAAGTTTTAGTGTTCTTTGCCTGAGCACTTGTCTAGGGTATCAGCTAGCTATCGCTGCATAACTAACCACTCTAAAACTTAGTGACTGAAAACAAGCACCATTTTTTATTTGTCATGGATCTACAGAATGAGGACAGGCGCCAGGCTCTCCTTTGGGCAACTACTCCTTCCTGATGCAAGGTTTGGGTGGGGTTGACACCACCCTTGAAGCTGGGGTTGCTTAGGCCCACTAGTCTCTTCCGTCCCTCTGGCCTGCTTCAGGAAGGGCTGCAGCTCAATTCTGGCCAGCGTGAGTCAAACCTAGGACTTGTACGATATTGAAGCTGAGGAGGTGCGGGCAGGTGGGGCTCCTGCAGCCATCGGGCAATCACGAGGGATAAGACAGCCTGTCTGAGCATGAAGTTCACACGTAGGGCTGAGGAGGGCCAACCTGAGAGTGGAGACCTGCAGCCTGGAGTCAACACTCACACTCTCGCATCATCCATGTTTGCAGCCAGTCCTAGCCTAGAGATTCCAGTTCTGTGAGCCAATAAATTCTCTTTCCTTAAGGCTGTTTGGGTTGGATAGCTTGTCTCCTGCAAACAGAGAGTCCTAAACAGATATGCCTAGAAGCGAACAGTTCAGCAGTGGACAGCTTTGTGGCTGGCAAAGCAGTCAAACAGCTAAAATGTGCCCTTTCTCTGTGCCTCTCTGTGGGCCAGAGGCACTGTCCTATTAATTGTTGTCACAATGAGTCAACGTTGATTCTGATTTCAGAATTCTAGAGCGATCATTGTGTGCAACGAGACTGTAAGCAGCGTGAGGGTAGGAACTGGGTCTCATCCGTCTCTTTCCCCGGCAGCTAACTTGGGGCGAGGTGCATACAAACGTACTTCCTGTGTGCTTGTAGAATGAATGAGAGTCTTCTGATGTGGGGCCCTCAAGTGAGCACGGTTGCTATAAGCGAGGAAACAAATTACGGAATGCATACAATATTGAGCCTCTCAGAAGGTTTCACAGCATTGGAGCCTGGAATCAGCAAGAGGCCATCACTGAGTGATGCGTGGTTATGGTGGGAATAAGGGATTCTCGGAGGCTGGTGGAAGACCTGGTTCTCTTCTGCAAAGAGGCCCCTGCGTGAAGATCTACCAGGAGGTCCATCAGAAAGGAAAGGCCCCGGAGTCGCTCTTGGGTGCGGCGGGCAGCAAGCTCCCTCAGTCATGAGATCCTGCACCAACCATGTGTAATGAGCGTGCTCAGAGACAGCCCGTACAACCAACCTGTAAAGAGCATAGCTTTACTGGGCTCAAATTCTGGCTCCTGCACGTCCCAACTTTACCTTGGGGGAGCCACGTACCCTCTCAGAGCCTCAGTTTCCTCATCTGCAGAATGGTATTTAAGAAGGGTACTTCCCTTCAATGGCTATTTTGAGAATTTGATGAGAAAATGCATGTAAAGGGCTTAAAGTCGTGCCTGGGACAGAAGTAAGTGATCAATAAATACTTCACACACACACACACACACAAACATAGGTAAAAAAAAAAAAAACCCCAAGGGGCTGTATCATGTGTGTAGACAGTGAATGCTAAGATGTTGTGCGTGCCTTCACATCGGAGATCAGTGTGCTGTGGCCTCTGGTGGTGTGTCTTGGACTTTTGAAGGCACTCTCTGCAGACGACAGCTCCTTCCCCGCTTCCTCTGCTTTGACATTTCCAGCGCCTGCTTTCCCAGCAGGCACCCCGCAGTTACCTTCTTCAATTAGCTCCACGGTTGGAGCAGTCCTCCTTGGAGCCTTGGCGTCCGCCTTGTTGGATCTGAGCTAAAGGACGTTTCGGGGACGGTTCCTGGGGGAGGCACTCAGACGGTGTGGGCTGGAGGGGAGGAAGAGTGCCCTGGGACCTCCCCACCCCCGAGGTGCCACCTCACACTTTCAAAAAGCCACCGGAGCACATTTGAGAAAAGTTAAGCTGTTTTATTTCACAGGATAGCTCCACGTCAAACCAGCAGGCACCATCAGAATACGCGACAGAGGATCCAGTCAGACACTCTAGAGGACGGGCGTTGGGTGGAGAAACAGGATCTGGGAGAGGGCAACACTGATCATCACGGGGGGACAGGCAACCAGCAATTTCCTAGGGTGGTTTCAGTTTGTTTTTTCCTGACACAGTTTGGGGAGGAAGGAAACCGAAGGAAACGAAAGAGACCAGCCACTCTGAAGCAATCAGAACCGAACCTAATGCCAAACCGTGTAAACAGCCACACCGCCGGGGACTAGAGCCTGAGCGGAAACTCTAGCCAGAATCTACTTCCGTCTAAGGAAGGCAAAGTGCACTCTGGTTGTACTGGTTCAAGGAACAGCTTTGTTATTTGCCTGGGACAGTTCACACAGAAAGGAGGTGTCAGCAAGGGGCAGCGCTGGCCATTCGGCCAGTCCCAGAGGGTGGGACAGCAGGACACTGGCAGATCAACCTCAGAGAGGCCAGGAGGACTCCGACCTGACAGCAAAGTCCTTCTCTCCACTCCCCTGGGCAGCTCTGGGTACGTGGGGAATTCTCTACATGGCTGCTCAGAAGAGAGGAGTCCCCAGAGAACCGGGGAAGTTGACATGAAACGTCAGCATTAGCTCTGCACAGCAGAAAATCGGCTAAGCAACACCTCGGCTCACCCCTTCCTGCCTTTTCCTCCCTGCCCGTCCCCACAAGCCCCACAGGGCCCCCACCGTGGTTGGGAGCCAGCCATTCTTCTTTCTGGCTTTCTCGGGAGAATGAGGCATTTGCTCTGGTGTGGAACCATCTGGATGTGTGGAAAGTTAAGAACAGAAAGACTGAGAGGAAGAACCATTACATTAGTCCTTGTGGTTTTCCACCAGCCGTGTACGTGCGCTGGGCGCCAGGTAACCACCAGGTCATAGGAAGTCCTCCGCATTCATGCCTCCTGAATGAGAAAGAAAGATACCCAACAAGGCACTCCAAGGGCCTCCAACAGGGAAGGAAGCCCCACGCAAAGGCCCTTCCCCACACTGGCTCCCCTCCGCGTACCACAAACCAGTTCTGAAGTGTTTATAAGGCAGATCTCTGAACTGCTGGTTCCAGCCGTGGCCAAAGGATGGCTCCATTTCCCTGTGTCTCTTCCCACTCAGATTTCTTTGTTGAATAGAAACCTTTCGTCCCTTGGGAATCCATTTCTCTCCTGCCCCTTGGCCTGGTGACCTCAGAGAAAACACTCCCAAGTCTACTTCCCAAGCTTACAATTCCCTCCAGTTATGCGCTCTGTCTGGGGTTCAAAAGGCGCTTCAAGGTGAGAAATCGTTAGCACTGAAAACAAGGAAAGGCAAGAATTTTTCATAGAATCCCACAGCTCAGAGCAGCTCTTTAAGAGGAACAGGGAATAAAGGGGGACGGGGGCGTGGGGTAGGAAGCACAGCTTGTTCTCAATTTTATCCCAGAAAGGTCTTTAGCGGCAGCTGGGCCCCGAGGCCCAGGAAACTAGACCAGGAATGAATTGTCTTTGGTCAGTTTTAAACGAACATCTTGCTGGTTCATTCCTAAAAATAGACTGAACATCGGTTACACATAAAGACAAAAGGCTTGACCTCAGGGTAAGTTGAAGGTTAAGAAAAGAACTCATTCTGTGAAGTAAAAAAAAAAAAAAAAAATGCCCGTTATCAACGAACTGATCAGTACAGCTTTCAGTAATGGTGATGGACAAGTAGGTAAACACCACTGCCCCTTGTACAATTGGTTATATTGAGGACTACTAACTAGGTTACTACATTTCCCCCACACTCACTGTACAGTTAGGTTTCTGGTATTTGTTTTTTACATTGATCTATCTACTAGGTGCAAAGATTTGGTGAGTGGCATTGGCTAAAATTTAACTGTAGCCTTTTTAAAAATTACAGTTTCACATTTTAACAGTTACTTTCCAGCATTTAAGCAAATACAGCAATATATAGTGGACTAACACAGGCAGGAGTCAGGAAGAGGATGCCAATGCTCAGAGACTATGGATGGGACCCGGTGCTTGTGGAGGGTGACATGCAGAGAGCCAGATGAGGAAATGGGGGGAGGGGCACAGGAAAGGATTTTTCCATTTGGTTCTGCGTCAAGGCTCAGATTTGGGGCTGGATGAGTGGGGGGTGAGCTTCCCTAGATGTGAACTCACCAGCCGTTTCCCAATGGAAAAATAAGTGCTTAAAGAAAACAGCCAAGGCTCTGCCTTGAGGTCATTCAGTGAAAGGCAGGTCCACTTCAGCAAGAAAAAACAAAGTTAGTCAATTGAGAGGAAAATCCACACGGTCTGACTGGTGTTATGCATATCAGGAGACAGATCTGTCAACTCAGATTGTCACTTTTCCTCTGGTAGTCATGGCAGAGCAGGTCACATTTTACGCAGCAGGCTACTGCTTTTAAGGTCTGGGCATATCTCTGGGGTAGAAATGAGATGTCTTGTGACCTGGCTGGACAGCAGAGTGTCCTTGCAAGTAAATGACTTTACGAGCCTGACACAGCCCCACTCTCAGCTATCTATTAAATCTTGGGCAAGTCATAGCATATCCCAAGGTCTAGCTTTCTTTCCTAAGCTGTAAAACGGGGATACCTTTATGGGCTCCAAGGCAGAGGGCTCCTAGCTGGTTCCGAGGTGCTTTCATTTCCAGGAGCTAAAAGAGAACGGTTCGTTCTAGGCAAAACAAGGAGGGTCAAGTTTGTCATTGGCCTCTCCCTGGCGTTCTCTTTCTGTGCCCTTTCTTGGTCCTTCCTTCCGCTGTGTGCTCTCAATGCCAGTCCTTCAGACAAGGCAGAATGGCTTACCACTCCTACACGCCCAGATACTAGTGACTTAACAGTCCCTCCCTCTGGGGTATGTTTACCTTTTTATGGAGGACCAGAGGAGAGGGCAAAACTTAATCCAATGGGTTGAAATGGGAATGATGGCATTTCAAGCGTCAATAGGTGATATATCTGTAGGGCTGTGCTTCAGGGATGTTAGAAGCTGGTAGGAAAATTCCACTGCCCACTTCTCCATTGCTATTAGGAGGTTTCAAAAGGAAGGTCCTGGATGGTTTTTGATCTAAAAGACTTACCCTACTAATGATAATAAAAAGAACAATAGTGTTGGCACACTGCTTTCCAGTTTACACAGCTTGCTCACATTTTATCTTTATTCTCTTCATTTTATGGAGCAGGACACTGAGGCTCAATGAGGTGGAGTGACATGGCCACAGTCCCAGAGCACCTAAGGTGGGGGGCTGGGACTCAGACACAGAACTTTTGACTCCAAACCACAGCCATGGAGACACACTCAGAGGCCTCGAGGGAGAGAAAGAGAGGAAGCTGGAGAACAATAAGAAGGAAGCCTTTGGCTTGGCACGAGGGGAGCGGGTAAAAGTGGTCCTGTTAGAATCTGATCCACCTGTGTCCCATTATCCAGAAACAGCCCAGCTCTGGGAAATGAAGAGATCGAAAAAGGAAGTGGGAATCAAAACATTAAAATGGAATCAAACAAGGGTTCCGGAAGGTCTTTTCCCAGCCAAGAGGCAAAATACTTGAACATCATGCACCCCAATTCTATCACCGTATTTTCAATTACACTAAATGCTCTGGAGGAGGCGAGTGGAAGGGGAGGGAAAGGAGAGAGGGAAGCTATTTCACTTGCATAAACTCAACGGACGTGTTCTCTAGGTTGGAAAGTGCCAAGGGGCGCCCCTCCTGGGCCCCTGGTCTGAGCTGGGCACTTAGGGCCCATGCGCTTCATGCAAGAGGCACCAGCCAAGTGCGTCACGGCCTGATTTTAAATTAAAATGATGTGACCCAAAGCCTCCTTGCCTGTTTAGTTCCAGATCTGACACAGGATAATTAGTAGAAAGAGGAAAATAAAAACTTAAATATTTTGAAAATGGTATAAGTTAAACCTCTATAGTTACCACATTTATTCCTACAGCGTTTCTAGGTTCGGAAGTGTTCCACACCACTGTGTTGATTTTTCCTTTTTCCCAACCACACACAATACTGTGCTACAATGGGGCTTAGGGGGTTACTATCCCCTTTTTCCACATACAAACACAAGAATGCTGTGGCCAGGGGTCTTCTCGCCAACGTCCTCCCCGTGCCTTTGGGGGTACAGTTGGCCCTTGGCCTCCGGGTGGAAAGGCAGGGTCTCTGGGGTGGAGGGGGTGGGGGGGTTCTGTGAAGGGTTCCCCACCTCTAGGGGCAGCCTGCTTGGGGTACCGCCTGCCCCACCCTTCCTGTAAGGGCAGACTGTTCTGGAAGGCCACGGCTTCTGGAGACAGTGGGAGACTGTTTTGTTTTTCTGCAGGTTAGTGGTATATTGCTTCATTCGCAGTTACTGTGGGCCTCTGAGTTCTCCCAGAAAAGTCCCTGCAGATCCCACCAAATAACTCAGCGGGAGATGTTTGGTGGCATGGGTCTGAGGTAAATCTAAGTTTCAGAAAAAGAAAAAGGAGATCCTATATACACTTAGTATGTGTGTCCAGATCTAGTATATGTATATAGATGCATAAATATATATATACACACACCTACAGACACATACACACATACATACGTGTATATATGCACACACATATATATACACGTACGTATGTACGTAGAGAGAATGTCGAGAGAAGAATTTTCCAGTGACGATATGCAGGCGAAGCCATTGAACATCTTGCCACAATCTTAGGAAACGCTCTGGTTGGGCCGCTTAGCTTGCTCCTGCGCTCCTCTGCGCGTCTGTTTACACTCGCGAGGGCTGTGGGATTCACATGGCTGAACGTGAGCTGCGGCCAGTGCCCGGCCTAAGCTCTGCACACACGTGCTCCCAGGCTGACCTTCTGGTCTCTGCTTGACAAGGCCTTGAGCACTGGGAAGGACGTGGAGGTCACAGAGGCCACCCTTGGCCATGGCGAGCCACAGCGGGCAGGGCGGTGCCGCCCATCCTGCAGGTCACATGGTGCCCGACTTGTCGGCTGAGCTGTTGGGGAACATCTTCTCGGTGGGCGTCACAGCTGGGCTGCCCACGCCCGAGCTGCTGCTGCTGCTGGACCGATGCTGGACCACGGGCCGCACCGGCCGCATGGGGGGCGGGCGCAGCTGGGCGCCGGCCAGGCGGGCAGATAGGGCTGGCTTGAAGGTGGTCATCATCTCAGTGGAGGAGCTGCTGCTGCGGCGCATGGCGGCGTCGGGGTCACGGATGACAATGGTGTGCAGGGGGCTGGCGGGCTCCGAGCTGATGGGGCCTGGCGGGTTCTTCAGGGGCTCCAGTGTGTCCAGCACCACATCTGGCGCCTGCTTGACTGTGTTCTGCCTCTCGAGTTCCCGCAGCTCATGCAGAGCCGTGCTCATGGTCTTCTCGATGTCCTGGGGACACAGAGAGCTCTTGTCAGCACCGATTCTGGAGGCCTGGAGTCCAGTCCTTTCTCAGCTGCTAGCCAGCTTGTGGCTTCTTAGGGAGATTTCCCCACAAGCCTCATGGCTGTGAGGGAGATTAAATCCCCAGGGTGACTTATAACCAAATGGGAAAATCAACGTAGGTGTCCCCTGCACACTGCCTACAGATCAAGTGGACTGGATAAGGGCAGGTTAGGCTAGTGGGTAGGAAGGCAGGCTCTGGAGCCAGACAAACATGGGTTCAAATCCCGGCTTTGCCACTTCCTCACTATGTGACCTTGGGCAAGTCACCTCACCTCTCTGAGCCTCAGAATCATCGTTTGTAAATTACAGATAAATATACTACTGACCTTAGGGGGTTGGTGAGTGTATTAAATGATACAGTCCCTGTGAAGAGTCTGGCGTGGCACCTGGCACACAGTAAGCACTCACAAATAACAATGACAATAACGATGGCAATAGTAGCTACTACTGAGCACCAATTCAAGCCCTTTCCACTAATAGTTCACTTAATCCTCACACTTAGATGGTAAGAACTACCATTATGCTCCTTACACACATGAGGAAATGGAAGCTTGGACTGGTTAAGTAACTTGCCCAAGGTCACACAGCTAGTTAGTAGCATAGCCTAAGTCTCAATCCAGGTGGCCTGGCTCCAGAGTTCATGCCCTTACCTATTATTACTTTTTTAAAAGTCCTTGCCCATAGAAAAAGTATTTGGAGGTTACATATCGGAATGTCCACAGTATTCACCCCAGAATGGAGTGTTACTTTCTTCTCTGTATTATAATCAGAAAACTGTTTTTTTAAAAAATAGAAATTTTAAAAAGTAACAAAAATCCACATCTGCCTACATAATCCCCAGGGCTGTTGTAAGATTTAAGAGCTCATCAGTATGAGAGCACTTGGAATGTCAGAGAGATTACGGCAGGCCCAGGACCTCCCGGAGCAGAGCCTGTCAGCCCGGGGCTCCTCCTTCCATCTGTGCTGATTCTCAAGGCCTCCATTCCCCCTGAAGCCAAGGAGGGGGCGCTGGAGCTGGAAGTCAGCATTGAACCCAGGAGCCCTTGGCTCTGGCAAAGGGCCCGGATTTGGGGACGTAAAGACTCCTCTGCCCCTTGCTGGCTGTGTGAACATGGGCAAGTCTCAGTCGTTCTGCACCATACTTTGTTCCTCTGTTGAAAGCCCACACGTTTACTGTGAAGATGGAATGAGATAATGGACATGAGGAAGCTTTGGAAACTGCCAGACAGTGGTCTTCAGACTCCCTTTAGCCCGAGTCCTCAGTTCACACAGGGTTTTACAGGGATGCCTCCACATCAAACAGATGCAAGAGGAGCTGAGCCAGGCCAGAGCCCACAGGCTTGGCCGCCAAGGGGACAACGAGGGACACCGCTGAAAACCACTGCTGGAAGGTGCTGTGCACAACCTCAGTGACAATGATGACTATTAAGACACACTTGCTTCTCTGCCCTGAGGCAAATCTGGAAAAACTGAAAGTCTGGTCAGACTGAGGGAGTTAGAGCCTAGAGCTGCTCTGGCTGGCCCCTTTCCACCCCCAAGCCCTCTTTCACCTTCTCTCCTCCTCCTGTCTACAGGTGGCCTCCTGCCTGCCCTGGGCCCCCACGACAGGCTCTAATCTGGCCACAGTCAGGGTCCCAATCTATTATTTTTTGCTTTAAGAAACTATTAATAATTAGCCAAAGGCTAATCTTAGCTTTTATGCTTCCCCATGACATCTTATCCTTTGCCCCATAACACTGGCCACTTTAAGATGAGGCCTTTTGTGCCTTTATCCAAAAGGACTAGCTGTGGGGGGGGGAGGAGGGGGGGAGGGTTCTGCATGACGAGAGAGATGGCAGTCCTCTCCCCATCTTTGCTATATCCCAACCCTGCAGTGATAAAGTCTGCTTTCCACGCCCCACTCTGCTGAAATGAAGTCCCCTACTGACATCAGTGCTCTCTCCACTCCACTCCAGCATGAGCTGAAAGGTAAAATTTTAATAAATAAAATGGGATTATCACCCCTCCGCCACCATCCCTGCCACCACCACCACTCTACCCTGGCAGAGTGTGAGCCAGAAAGACAGAAAGCTCAGAGAAAGATCAGCAGAGTAGTTTAGGCGTGAGCCTTGCATTAGTCTGAGAGGCGATGCTGTAACCTCCAGCGCGGAGCTGCAGAGAGGCGCTGGGGGGAGGATGGACAGCGTGGGGAAAGTGATCACTTTTCACCTCCTCCCAAATTAGATCTTCCCACTCTGGATGGCAATGTTGCAGCTTCCCCAAACAGCCTCTTTAACTGGGTTCAAATCTAAATCCTAAAGGACATTTTGAGACCAAAGAATTTCAGGTAACTGCATCTACTCCTGGGGATTCTCCGCACCCCCATTCCCCGGGTAGCCTGCAAAGTCAAGCGCTCATCAAAACCGATGCTGAGCAGGCAGGAGGCTGTCCAGTGTCCCCTGAGCTATTTACATATTGTTCACTATGCTTTCCCATTTCACCTCTGTCAGTGAAGGAGCTCTTGAATGGCAACTATCAAATTAGAGAGTATGTAGATGTTTGCAAATGGAAAACGCATGCAGCATTTCCCAAGCGTTTTCTTTGGGCTGGTCTTGCAAAATGCTCTGTGAATAAAGGTCAAAGAAGTCTGGGAGATGGGGCATGCCCTGTCCTCTTTCTTGGAGATTTATAATGCACATCAATGTATTTAAAGGTTCTAAAAAGTCTTGCAGACAAGTCATTCAACTTTGTCAGACCAGCATCCCTCCAAAACTTCTTGACCACACAACTCTTTATTTCCCCATTAACATCCCATGGAACTAGTCTGCTGTGGGACCTCCTTTTGGAAATACTGGCCTAGACTGCATTTGATTCTGTATGTAAAGGACTCTAGGCCAGGCCTCAGGTAGCGCACTCCCCAAAAGAGCCCGCGGTAGAACTGCCAGGTGATGGCAGATGCTAGGGGGATGCTTCCCAAGAGGGTGGCCTTCAAGAATGGAGGGACCAGCAGGTTGCCTGGCTTGGCTGCGGGACCCACGCCAAAGCAATGATCTTCAGGGATCCCTCAGGAGTGGGCATCAGAACATGGGCCAACACAGATCCTACGGGTGTGAACAGGAGCTCCAATTGCTGGGCGAGTTGTTCCTGTGTTGATGTTCCCTCGGAAACTTTCCTGGCCTCCTCTAGAACGCAGCCCCCAAGTTCACAACTTTTCCCTTTCCCCTTGTGACCAGGGATTCAAATGCCACTCCCCACAACAGAATCCTCACAGCCGGGAAGGTTCTGGTTGTCTCTTTTACCTTAAGCGGGAGATAACATTAGGGAGGGGGTACACAATGGGCCCCACCCCAAATTCCAGAGAGAAAAAAAATGGAAGCTTTTGAAAATATGATAGAACTGTCAAAAACACATGAAACCAGTTGTGCAAATTATTAAACAGTTGAAACAAATTGCTTCATAACAATTTGTTAAAGAAATTTGTTTGGTTTTCTTGGCAAGTATAAAAATCACAGATTTCTCATTCAGATTTTGAAAAATTTGGAAAATAAAGAACTCTAAGCACTTTAGAAGATCCTGGAACAGTCTTCCCTTCTGGCTTCCGCTATTTAGTCCCGTTTGTCCTCTGGGTCTCAGGTCGGTTCCTCCCCAGGGGAGTCTCTCCCGGCCTACGTGCAATCTCCCCATTTTAGGCTCTCAAAATACTGTGTGCCACTCCTTCAAGACACCCAACCCAACTGCTGTTTCACAGCTGTGTGGGTTACTGGTTGGTCCCTCTCTTCTCTAAACTGTAAGTTCCACCTGGGCCAGGCCTGGGTCCATTTTAGGTCATCATTGTACTCAGTGCTTAGCACAGTGATTGTCACAGAACAGATGCTCATCAATATTTGTCAATGAATGAATGAACACATCAATGAATGAATGAGTAACTCAATCGTGCCATCTTGTGGAGACACGTGCGATTACCACATCCCTATCATCCACCTCCCCACAGGGAAGAAATGCCCCCTCCAGCCCTGGAGACTGGGGGTCCTCAGTCCTTACAGGATTCCTAGCCAGCGGCTGCACCCATTCCAGCTTCCACTCCTCAAAGGGAGGTCAACAGTGGGACGGGAAGCCAGCTCGCCACCCATCTTGCCTTCCGGCTTAGCCTTGAGCCTGGCGTGAAGGGCCAAGTGGCTCCCAGCCCGCAGCCCCCTCGGGGGGTCTCGGCTAGCCCAGCCTGCCTTCCCGCTGGCCCTTACTTCTGCCAGGGCCTCAGCCTCCAGGGACTTGTGGTCCCCCAGGCTGCTGTGCCTGGTGGAGCCGCACGTCGACCTCATCGAGTGCCCCTCGGAGAGCGCCTTCTTGTCAGGGTAGTTGATGCTGCCGGCGCTCCCGAACGTCGCCATCCTCCGCTTCTCCGGGCTCTCGATCCTCCCCCGGGTGAGCGGGATTTTGTGGGGGCTGCTGGGGCAGGCGGCGGCCCGGGGCGGCGTGTCTATGCTGGGGCCCAGGCCCCGGGGCGGGCTGTGCGTGTCGCCCCCGCTTCGGCGCCTGGGGATGGCCGCTCCATCGGATCGTAACCGCACTCTGCAAAGGAGCCAGGGGGCGGGGGCATGGGGCAGAGGTCAACCCTGGCGAGTCCCAGAACGGGTCAGCCAACCCCCAGGCCACACGCTACACTCTAGTCTAGGGAGCGGGTATAGTAAAGCCTCAATTCAGCCAGACTCGGCAATTCCGCCAGGAGAACCGTGGCCGAGCGCTGGCTCGGTGGCACGGGGCCCTTTCCCCTGGGCACATGATGGCATCGCAGCTTTCTGCCTCCAAGCCGCAGACAGCGGTGCTAACTACACCGTGAATCTTGTCTACGGATTAAGTCAAGGCCAGGAGGCTTTCAACCTGGGAACGCTTAGGGGATGGTTAGTTGGGTTCATGATACGTTTTTAAGCGGTTTAGACATTGCCACGATTCTGAAGGGCTTCTAATCGGTCTGAAGCGTTGAGGCTTGACTGTACCAGAAAGCTACTAACTCCCTGCAAGCACAGGAGGGCCCGCCTGGGAACCCAACACAGTCCAGTGTTGCCGCCCACCCCCAATCTCCCCAGCAATAGGGCTATTTCTAGGAGGCTTTTCTAGATCTTGGGAAACTAGTCATTCAAGAGTGAAAATTGCATGGGACACGCCTTCCGTGCACTCAGTCACCTTTCACCCTTCAGGGCAGCTCTGGTGGAATGAAAAGGGGACTAGAGTGTCAACCAGGAGGGCGAGTCCTCATCCTGTCTCTGTCACAGACTTTCCTGTGTCCTCTTTCAGACTCATTTTATTAACCTGTTAAATGGGTGTACCAGTCCTCGCCCACCTTTGAGTGAGGTTCAGTGGGTGTGAAAGTACTTTTCAGACAAGAGGGTCTACCCACAGGAGATTTTGCTATGTCCTAGGGAGGTCACCAAAGATTCTAAGGCAGCTGTGAGGGGAGGGAAGGCTGGAAGTGGCAAGGGGGTGGGGAAGAGGGGCAGAGCGGTTGTGACCAGGGGACCAAGCTCAACGTGGTCAGCAGCACTTCAGTTCCCAGTGCCCCCGCCAAGCTAAGCACTGCCTGTGGGTACCCCAACAGGACCAAAGCATAGGTGTTGGAGAGGAAGAGGTACTGAGAAAGAAAGGGCAGGAAGAAGGCAGGGGAGGGAGGCAAGAGGGAGAGGAAGGTGAGCAGGAGAAGACATGGCCCCCAGAAGTCACCTGTGACTGTCATCTACCTAACCCAACCTTCTACTTTCCCCCTTATTCCATCATCTACGGCCGTGCCCTGAACTGAAGAGAATGTGGTGAAAAGAGGCATGAGGACTCCTGCTGAAATAGCTTCATGAGTCTACGTTCCCATCACGGCTAGGTCTTTGGCTGTCTCTGCAAGTACCCGTATGTGTGGGTTGATCCCATGACCTATCCACCGAAAAAACAGAGAATATGACATTTTGAGAATCTGAGTAAGAAAGTAGTGAGAAACTCAGCTTTTCTTTTTTCTTTTCTTTTCATCTCTTTTCCTTATTTTATTATTTTTTAATAACCACATTCTTTGGACTATACCTGTATGCAGCATGATGAGCGCAGCTCCTTGCCTGGCAGAAAGGTCATGTGACACAGCCCAGCCCACACAGGAGGAGTGAAGAAATCGGCAAATGTGCTCCCACCAAATAGGGCGGTGAGCGGAGTGTCAATTTCCCCCGCCCTGGTGAGTGGGTGTGAGTTTTCTGTTTATGTAGCGCACTTCAGGGAGTCCGCAAGCTCTAAATTCTTAAATATAACAGCTTAGGTCTTCTACAGAAAGTGGAGGAGGTGCAAGAACCAGAGAGAGGGAGCAAAAATACTTGCCAATTTGTAACTCTCTCTCGCCCCCATTTATTATTATTTTTTTTAAATAGAAAGCACTGATTTGCCAATAAATGTCCTTCCTTCTCCTTCTCTACCCCAGACCCCAAGGTGGATGGTTTTGTACCTGGCATTCTTGGGCCAGTTCCAGCCAGCCTACCCCGGTATGCCCCATCTGACACCTGTGGGAACAAAGGGCCACAACAGCCTCCCGCTCTCCCTCCTGCCCCCTCACTTCTCCCTAACCAGACAGGAAGGGCATGGCACTAGCAGGAAAAAATGAATCTGCATTTCCTACCGGCCCATCACCCCCCCAAAGCCGTAATCTGAGATGTGCTCTGTGGGGGACTGGAGGTCGTTTTTGGAGGAGGCCTTGTCATCCAGCAGCGGCCCGCTGCTGGCCTCACTGTCAGCCTTTTGGCTCAGGCTGTCCGAGAAGGCATCGTCCCTGGGGAGAAGGAGAGATGGGAATTAGGAGTGCTTTGCTCCAGAGAACCCAGGATGTGCAGGGCTCCTTGAGACCTGCCTGAGGGGCTGAATCAACACACACTGTATGCTTAATTTACCCCCACAGCTCGGGAGGAGCCACCTTCTACTCTGTGCATGCTTATGACCACGCATGCCCCCTGCCACACTCCTTGGTCAGTTTCTCCAGCAGGAGACCCTCCTCTGTGCCACCACCCCGATGCCAACTTTCTCCTTTCCCCTCGGCTAGGTTGCTCCTCTCTCCCAGGCTACTCCAGGCTAGGACAAGCTAAATGCTGGAGGGTGTGATGGAGAAATGGGGGGAGGAGCCTGCAAGCTGAGCACTGGGCTCAGAGTCTCCATGTGGCTCCAGGAGAAGCAGTTTAGGGCTAAGTGAGGGAGGAAGAAGGTGCCTCCCCACCACACCTCCCCACCCCACCCAGGGCGGGCGACAATTGTGAGGTGGCTTCAGCTTGTTGGGGGGTCCTGCCAACCTCCTCCCACTGCTCTCTCCCTCCCAGTGCCCTCTCCCTGGGGCGCATCAGAGGCTTGGGGACATGAGAGGGCTGCTGACGGCCCTCCACTGTGGCATTCCTCTTGGGGTTTGCTTGGCCCTGGACTTTTCTCTGGCTTCAGACCATCCCTTCTACCATCAAAACTTATGCTTTTGGTCCCCTTCCCTTGAGGTCTAGCTAGTGGCAGCTTCCTCCATAAATCAGTGCCGTCTAAGCCTGACCAGAGCCCGAAGGGAATGTGTGTGCAGGAACCTTCAAAGGCTTTCAGAGAACGGAGGGGGTCCACTTTCTGGGCCTTCCAGTAGGCCTAGGTATTTGAGATGCAGGACTTTTTTTTAATGCCTGAAATTATTTTTTTTTAAATAATACCCTATTATCTGGAAATGAGAGGATGATTGTTTCTGCCCATCCTCTGAGAAAGCCACCATGGGGGAAGAGAATAGTGGGCAGTGGAAGGGGCAGTGCGCTGGCCACTGGCTACAGGGAAGGCCCAGGAGAGTGGAGGCATATGGCAAGACCCCCTGGACACTGAGAATCATAATGGGTGATGAACACTCTGGAGGATGTCAGATGGGTCAGGACGGTGGGCCAAGGGCGTCAAATGCTGTCTCTGTGTACTCTGAAGGATAAGTAGCTTGCTTATTTGTTAAGCGGATCACCATTTAAGGAGAAGTAAGATATAACCCATTCTTACAGAAGGCCAACTATATCAGGGACAGCAAACTGCTGGCATACAACCCAGCATTCCCCTTCCTGTGCCCATTCTAGACATCACTAATCGATTACAGCATTCTTCACAGAACGTCCCGGCTCCCACTCACATGTCCTGTACGACTATGTACTGATGAGGGATGAGTCCATCCACACCATTGTGACGACCCTCCCACCAGTCCTCCGAGGCACGGTGGTACAGGAGCAGTGAGGCCCCCTTCTTGAAGGACAGTTCACGCGGTGACCGCCCCACGTAGTCAAACTTGGCGATGGCCTCGATCTGCTCCACTTCTGGAAGGAAAGCAAGGGAAAGAGCATCCACGAGGTCAGCAGAAGGGCAGCCCAGGAGTCCTGCCCAGATGGCCCTGACGTCTAAGGAGAAGGACAGACGGCAAGCCTGGTGGAAATAGTGTGGGCTGGGGCTCAGGACGCTGGGGTTCTAGGCTCACACTGGCTCCTGGAGGACTCTGTGACTGCAGACAGGCCATCTAACTTCTCACAATGTAAAGTGGGGCTGACATACCAGGTCCCCATTTCCACTGTCCCTCTCGTTCTCTGCTTTTTAAAACATTAAAACAATATTATAAAAAATTTCTTTTTCTTCTACACCTTGATACAAGTTCTGTTTCCATTTCTCCATGAACCTTTTCCGTCTTTGTCCACTTATACTTTTAGTGTTCTTACCTTTTGGGAGGTCAAACAGATGGTGTATGGGGACTCCCATCGTGCAAAATGTTGTAGACAAATTTTAGGGTTCCCAGAACTCTTCAAAGCTCATCGTTATGGACTGAATTCTGTCTCCCCACTCAAGTCCACGTGTTGAAGCCCCAACCCCCAATGATGCTGTCTGGAGATGAGGTGTTCCGGAAGTCACTGAGGTTAAAGGAGGTCATGGGGTGGGGCCCTAATCTGACAGGGCTGGTGTCCCTTTAAGAAGAGGAAGAGACACCAGAGATCCCTCTTCCTTTCTCTGCATGCACACAGAGGAGAGGCTAGGTGAGGACACAGTGAGAAGGCAGCTGTCTACCAGCCAGGAGGAGAGGCCTCACAGAAACCAACCCTGATGGCACCCTAATCTTGGACTTCCAGCCTCCAGAACTGTGAGGAAATAAAAGTCTGTTGTGGAGGCCGCCCCGTCTGTGGGATTCTGTTATGGCAGCCTGAGCTGACTAACACACTCATCCATGGGCTTAATTTTGGGGGAGGGAGAATTCTTACTGGGGCCAGAGCTCAAGCATATTTCTTTGCACACTCATCAAACCAGGAGTCTTCTCTGGTCAGGGACAAGCCCTGACCGGGTTAAGCAATAAGGACATGGCTCTTGCCCTCGAGGCACTTGTACTGCCCAGCTCTGTCCCCTCGTGTCTGCACAACCTGAGGCAGGTTACATAACCTCTGTTCACCTCAGTTGCCTTTAGGAGGATTAAAAGATAATGCATGAAAGAAGACATACAGATGGCCAACAGCACATGAAAAGGCGCTCAACATCACTCATCACCAGGGAAACGCAAATCAAAACCACAATGAGCTATCACCTCACACCTGCTAGGATGGCTATTATCAAAAAGACAAGAAATAAAAAGTGTTGGAGAGGATGTGGAGAAAAGAGAATTCTTGTGTTCCACTGGCAGGAATGTAACCTGATGCAGCCACTATGGACAACAGTTATGGTGGTTCCTCAAAAAATTAAAAATAGAACTACCATACGATCCAGCAATTCTGCTTCTGGATATTTATTATTATTTATTTCATTTTACAGGAAATGAAAACACTAGCTTGAAAAGATATCTGCACTCCCTGTTCATTGCAGTGTTATTTACAAGAGCCAAGATAGGGAAACAGCCTAAGTGTCCACCCATGGACGAACAGATAAAGAAGATGTGGTATATATATTTATATTTATAAGTATACACACACACACACACACACACACACAGTGGAATACCATTTGCTACAATATGGATGGACCTTGAGGGTATTAAGCTAAGTGAAATAAGTCAGACAGAGAAAGACAAATACTGTATGATCTCACTGATATGTGGAATCTAAAAAAAACAAAAACAAACTGAACTCATAGATAGAACAGATGGGTGGTTGCCAGAGGTGGAGGGTGGAGGGTGGGCAAAATAGGTGAAAGGAGTCAAAAGGTGTAAACTTTCACTTATAGAATAAATAAGTCCTGGGAATGTAATAGACAGCATGGTGACTATAGTTAACAATACTGTATTGCATATTTGGAAGTTGCTAAGAAAGTAGATCTTAAAAGTTCTCATCACGAGAAAAAAAAACTGTAACTATGTGTGGTGATAGATGTTAACTAAACTGATTGTGGTGATCACTTCACAATATGTACAAATATCAAATCATTATGTTGTACGCCTGAAACTAATACGTTATATGTCAACTGTATCTCAATAAAAAAAGAAAGAAATATACTAGACTTCAATAGATTACAAAAGAAAGAACACATGCAAGTGCTCAGCACGGCACAGACACACCTTAGGGGTTCAGTTGATAGCAGCTTTTATGATTATGATTACAATTACTCGTGCCTCTAGCCTGTAGGGTAGCTCCAGACAAGAAATGCAAGCTGCAGAGCATTTAACGGGGTTTGCCCAAGACCAGACAGCTTGTGATGTTTGTGGAGGAGACTTGGTGGAGCAGGGATTACACCTACAATTTATTTACCCTGTGTTATAGCTTGTACCCTAAAAGGTGCCCATACTAGATAGAAAACTGATCTGATTGTATATAGGTATTAATGTATTTATATTTTAAAGCAAGCAGAAAGATGTTTAACATTATAAAAATTATATATATAAAATTCTAATAGAACGAAAGAGTAACAAAAGTGACCCCTGCTCTCTGGGGCCTGCAGACACCTTCCCTATGCTGAGCATCCGTGGACTCACCCTCTGCTCTGTTCCTTGTGGATTATCTTGTATCTGTCCATCCAGCCATCCACCTGTCCATCATGGAGTTGAGGCCAGAACATCTGGCTTTACCGCTTTTTAGCTGGGTGACCCTGGGCTAGTTCTCCTTTCTAAACCTCAGTTTCCTCATCTGTACAGTGGGGATGATAATAATAGTACCCACCTTGTGGGCTGTTATGAGGATTCAATGAGTTATTGTACATGAAGTGCTTGCACCAGTCCTGGCACATAGTTAGCTCTCTAGGAGAATTCGTTGCCGTTGTTACCAGAGCTGATGCACTGCTAAGGGCATGGGCAGCATGGAAGATCAAAGAGCAGAGGCAGGAAACTCCTTGGTTCATCTCCCCCGCTGATCCCCAGCACGCGCATGCACTAGGGCTCCCTCTGTAAGCACCCGGCTCAAGAAGACTGTGCTGGTGCCCCCGGGAGATGCAGTGGCCTTTGGATGTTTCCAGCCCTCATGGCTGGGCCAGCCTTCTGTCGGGAGTGGGCCTCGGGCAGTCAAGTCAGCTTTCCCCAGCTGGCTCCTAGACAGATGTCTTTACATGCTATTCTGGCACGGTTGATACAAAATGACAGCATAGCTAAATGGGTCAAATTAATTCAGATCTTGACTCAGAGTCACCTTCTCATGCGGAGCTCTCTGTCCTTCTCTGTTGCATCTTTGAATCTCACACCAGCTCTGTGTAGCGCTGCCTGGTAACCTGTCTGCCTGCCTGGCTACAGAGACAGAAAGGCCAGAGGGTCTGCAGGACCAGGAGTGGAACCCAGAGGGCTGCATGCTCTCGGGGTCTCACGGCGGGGGCTTCCTTTGAGCCCAATTCCCCACACTGATAAAGGAGCTGACCCGAGCAGAGGTTTGCTCATGCAGGAAGCACGGAGAGAGTGCCTCAGGTTTCTAACTTCTGCCTGTCCCATCTCCAGAGCCTCCAGCAGTCACTGGGGGTAGTCTGGAGTTGGGGGGTGGGGGAGTAGGAGGAGTGGAAAATGTAAAGGGAAGAAAAGAAGAAAACACGACAAGCAGAGCTGAGCCGCAAGCTGAGAGCGCACGTGTGCTTGCAGAGGTCATTATATAAGTGTGTGTGGTAGAAACAGTGATGATAGCCACCATTTATTAGGAAGTCTATTATTTCAGTTTATCATACCTAAAATAGGATACGTGATTCTCCCCCTTATCACTCTCCCACACATCCTTCCCAAGCTTACTTAATTCCCTTATCTTCCCCATCTGTTTGCCCGCTCACTCAGGCCAAAGCCCTGCCCTTGAGCATCGCACATCTAATCCATCTGCAAATCCTTGGAACCGTCTCCTGAATCTGACCAGTCATCACCTCCCCTGCCGCGGCCCTGGTCCAGGCCACCGCTGTCCGTCTACCTGTCCCCTCCTGTCATTCTTGCTTGGTAGAGCCACTTCTCCCCACGGCAGCTAGAGGGGTCTTTTAACAGAAATCAGACCATGAAACTCTCTTGTTCAAGTCCCTCTGAAGGCTTCCCATTGTGCTTGGAACAAAGCCCAGATGTCTTCCCCTGGCTTCTGAGGCCAGTTGTAGAGCTGGGGAAGGACTGGAGGGGAGAGGCTGGAGGCAACAGCACTTCAGACGCTGTTACAACAGTCCGGGGCTTGACACAGACATGAAAAGATATGTTGGAGGTTTGCTTTTATTTCAGAATCTGAAGGCTGGACATTTTACAAATCCCACGCTCATTATCCTTCTCTACCCATCACCTGATAGGAAGCTCAATGCCCCTCTCTAACGATGCCACACTACAGAAGAGTTTTGAGGTCATGAACTCTGCCTGTATGGAAGAGCAGGTGGCTCCATTCCTCTTAATACCACCTCACTGTCCCCCAACCCCACCCCGCCCCACACTGTCTCTGAAGAGAGAATACTAACCTCATTAGGCTGGTTTATTAGAGGCCATGGTCACCATGTTAAAGGTTGGGAACATGGATGAGCCCTCTCTTCTCTCATCTTCCCTGTGACTAAAGTAACCATATAACCTAGGGCCTGTCATAGGATCCCTTTCTTCTCCTCCTCTCACTCATGACCTTGGGTTCTTTCATTGCCTTGGGCTGCGGCAGCAGCTAGTATTAAGATTTAGATTTTGTTTGACAAGAAAGGAGAGAGATCAACCTAGCATGACCATGTGAGGAGATCTGCTGACCCATTCCCCACTGAAACTTGTGAAATACATAAAATAAGCAAACAAACGAAGAAACAACCATTGAGAGCTTCTAGAAATGGTCCTAAGGGCAAATAGCAAATGAAGAAACATCTATTCAAGAAAATCCATGAAAATTCAGTAAAAAAGGTGAGAGTCTGTGGAATCTGAACCCATCTGCTCTCTCCTCCACCA